TTCATATAATACATATTTATCCAGTTCACACAAATTTAACTATCACATGCACATAACTAGAGGTGGGAATTGGATCGGATTCGTGGATTGGATTGGTGGATCCATGGATTAAATGGATTTGTTTTAATGGATTTGTGGATTCATGGATTTGATCAAATGGATTGGTGGATGATCCATGAATCCAAATGAAATCCAAGACTTGGACCAAAATGTAAATTTTGAAAAGTTTAGTTACTAAAATGTCATAATGAAAAATTTTAGGTACCAAAATGTAATTTTTCAATTATTTTTCCGTATAAAAACATAAATTTTAGGTACCAAAATGTAAAGTATAAAAAATATAGGTACCAAATCGTAATTTGTCATTTGGATCCATGAATTGATCCATGAATCTACCAATCCAATTGGATTTGGATCAAAAGGATTGGATTTAATTGGATTGGATTCATGGATTTGGATGCTAATTGCCACCTCTACACATGACCTATGTTTTTTCCCCTTCATGATTGCATCAATTAACTAAATTTGTGATGCAGCCTCATCAATCTCATTGACCAACCGATAAGCGCATCAAATATTTATTATTTCATGATTGGTAGAATCAACCGATAATTGCTTCAAATATATATTGTTTCATGATTGGTAGAATCAAATCGTTTTTATATCATTTTGATTAGATAATGATGGCGACATAAAAACTCTAATGATTGGTTAGTTCTTTATTGGAGTTTTAGATACATCTACCAAGCTTGAATTGTATTTGAATTAACGACAAGTAGAACGACTGAATGAGATGAATAGATGATCACATTGCATAACACTTTTCCCCAAGAATTTGACCTATCAGTCAAACTTCATTCCATTTCAGTCCTTTAAAATTTGAAAATATATAATAAAAAAAGTATCGTTGTATCTGTCTCACATATGAGAAGTTAGACTTAGGACTGCAAATGAGCCGAGTCGAGTCGAGTTTTACCCCAGCTCGAGCTCAGCTCGTTTATTAACGAGCCGAGTCGAGCTCGAGCTAGCTTGTTTATTAAAATCTTAACTTTTATTTGGTACTTCATTTTGTATATCATGATACATATTATTTATTTTGTTAGGTAATCTCATCTTGTACTTTATACTTTGTTGGTATCATATATCGTTTAGTTAATAAATTTTAACTACTCCAAATCATGTTATTTCATTGTATCGAAGCAATCTATTATGCATAATTTCTTTTTAAAGTAGAAAATAAGATATATTTGCTCACATACTCAACGTGCAAAATTTTATATATGGTGAGATATATAAATTAACAACCATATGAATTAAAATCACAAGATATAAAGATTGATTCGTCCATAAGTTGGTAATGTGAGATATATAAATTAACAACCATATGGATTAAAATCATAAGATATATAGAATGATTCGTCCATAAGTTGGTAATCGAGTTGGCTCTCTAGTCACATGTTAAGACATATCATGAGCTCTAAACGTGCCAGCTCACGAGTTTAGCTCAACAAGCCATCGAGTCGAGCTAGCTTGCGAGCTTCACAAGCTGAACAAATGTGAGCTCGTGTTCGGCTCGTTTATTAACGAGCCGAGTTTCAAACGAGCTTTTCTCGAGTCGAACGCCGAAGACTCGTTTATTAACGAGCCGAGTTTCAAACGAGCTTTTCTCGAGTTGAACGCCGAGCCGCTCGCGAACAGCTCGGCTCCCTAGTCCTAACTTAGCTTGGTTCAAACATTTCGCTAAAGGCATTACAAACAAAAGAGACTGATCCAAAAGGGATTACTATTTACTACACAATTCCTCCTCCCTAAACCCATCATTAATCCGCTCCATTACCCCAAACGTGGCTGCCCCTGCCCCCAACGACCTCTGTACATCCAAGCTTTAAGATGCTACTGCCATGGTTTCTACAAAATGAAAGAATCAGAGGTGCTGATAGGCACATCACGGTGCGATATTTACTCTCTGATTCTCCAGCTTCACGTCATCCAACAAGGTTAGTTCTGCCATTAGCCTTTCGTATTTAGCATTTTCTCCTTCTAGTTCCTTCGTAAGCTTTATCACCTGCATGCATGACCAAAAGGTTTCTATTGTCATCTGATACAAGAGCCTCTGGACAATTTGAATGTCACGAAACGGATCATTCTGTACAAATTTATACTAGAAACCAAATTGCAGGATAATGCCTTTGTATCAAATTACCTTCAGATTCAGCTCTTCCTTCCGTATCTCGTAATCAGATAAGCTGGGAAAAGGATAACAAAAATGCACACAAAAGGTTGAGCACAATGAAGCACCGGGAAAATTCGTGGCTTGCTCTTTAGTCTTTCAAAGTGAAATCATAAATATCAATCATTGGATCTCTACTCAAATGAATTGTGGATATGGGTGACAAATGGAATGGAAACTGTGGTAGACACACCAGTAAGCTAGTAGCAGTGCAATGTAGTGACTATTGAGTGATACTTACTCTGCTCGGAGTTTTTTGTTGTCCTGCATCAGAACTGCAACCGTATTTTGCTGCTGCTGCTGTTGCTCCGCGAAATTACCGGAAGGAGAAAAGAAGGGCAAAGTTAACATTAGTTTCAGTTCAGGAAAAAAAAAAAAAAACATGAGGCGTAAAGGGAATAATATAATCCACAATGCACTCAGCATCACACTTCTATTAGACACTTACTATGGGAAAAGGTTACAGACCACTCAAAGAAGAATGAAGTTAGCTCCAGCAATTTTACGAGGAAAGACAAGATAAGTTATAACCGGTTCTTTTTCCTATATAACAGATAAAGGCTTTTTACCATCATTCTCCATAATCATTTGGCATATACACATCATTCTCCATAATCATTTGGCATATAATGTGTATGTATAATAAATGGGTTGTCCCGCTCCTCGTGGGGAAACTTAAAACTGTCATAAACCAGTTGGTCCCAATAACTCGAGTTGTTGGGAGAAAGTTATGATGGATCTTATACCACTCTCTAACACGCCCCCTCAAACGAAAGCCAACTCATGGGCTTGAAGTTTGCACAGGCCCACCATACCATGTGCTTGAAAGACAACGGTTAATATTGGGGGTCGTGGAGATTCGAACACATGACCTTTCGGTTCTAGGCTCTGATACCATGTCATAAACCAGTTGGTCCCAATAACTCGAGTTGTTGGGAGAAGGTTATGATGGATCTTATACCACTCTCTAACAAAAACAAGTACAAGGTATGACAAATGAAAATGTGGTACCAGTATGCAGATGCTAGTTTCTTACAGAGATCTGTCCGCCAGAACTGGATGCTGAAGTATCTATGACACCTTCTCCATGTCTTGGCAGCTTCCTGACAGTTTCAGGTGGAGCTGAATTGCTGTGCTCCTTCCTTTTAACGCCTAATACTGATAGATCGAGGCGAATAAATAGTCATATCATATTAGAAACCTGCTTAATTTTCTACCGAATACTCAATATCTCATAACTTATCACACATTTACCTGGAGAACTTGTCTGTGTTGTACCAACAGAAGGGAAGGTTTGATTTGACCTGGCAGAATCAGCATGGCAGCAAGTTAGTGGAATAATAGGAGGATCGGGTGCAGACCTCCTTGCTCCAGACTTCCTTTCCACGTGGTATCCAATTAGCCCGCAATGATAATCCCTGACACAGTACATCATATTTGGATAAGGATAAATTAAAATGGCATATTTCATGAGGACAGGGAAATGTAACACTGAGATGAGTAAACGAACCACGCATATTTTTAATATCATTGACTTGGAATATTATTGAGAATGAGAAACAAGTTAAAAATTTATTTCATGTTGGAAAGCGTCCTTTATGAACTTAGCGCAAAAAGTCGGGAGCCACTAAAGTGAAGATTCAAAACTATTAAAGAAGGAACAACATAACCTTCCTTCCCTACTTTCTGTTTATGGACAGCTATCCGCACCAGGTGCCCGCTTACATTTTGCTACATCCAACTTTTGAAACATTATCAACAGATCAAATCTAAGGAAAGTCCAGCACTTCCCGAACAAATAGGTAGTAATACAGTTTCATTCAATCCACTTCGACTAAGCATGTATTTCCTTCCGGTTGATTTTCTAATTAGTTCACCAAAATACCTTACGGAGTTTTCTTATTCTGTATTTGGGGTTCACTAATCACATTCCAATTGCCTAGCTAGTATACTATATTAATCGAAAAGCATTCATCACTTACCCAGCTTTATAAATGTACACCATAAACTTCACATAGTTACTCTGTTCCAACAACTAAGGATGCCTAGATGATATTGGTTGAAATTTAAGAAAGAAAATATCTTACCAGTATTCACATGCCATATCTTTCAATCGAACTTCAAGCTTTTGGAAAAGGGAAGTTCTCTCAAAGTCTTGTTTACTATGAGTTGGCTGGATATAATTCGCTTCTAAGATACCTGTGCGAATAGTAAAATTCGTACATTTGTTGTCTATCATTACTAGCGCCTATCAAATAGAATGGGAAAGGGATGTTTCAGCAGACTCCTCACCTACCACTCCTCTGCCCCTATTATTAGTATAAGTCAAAACTTGCATAAAAGGCTGCAATGAAAGGCATGTTTACAAGTTAGAGACATGGTTACACAAAACTAGCAACTAAAAGGACATGCTAATGTCATGATAAACTTGAAAGAAATTTGCATCGTGAAGAACAAGAACCAGACAGCTCAAACCGGTATCATGCCAGTCGGTTCAACCGGGTCTGACCGGTACTGGGCACCAAAATGGCTGGAAGACTCCCGGTTTGCAGTGGCAGTCAAAGCCGATCAATACCGGTAAAAACAGGAAAAACCGGAGGTCCGACCGGTTTGCATGTTACATTGTAAGTTTTAAAGCTTTTTAATACTTTGTTTACTTAATTGTATCATCTTCTTTGATTTGTAGGTGCTTAAAGAAAGAGTGGAAGAGGGATCAAATTGCTTAATAGGTTATATATACATGCCTAATTCATTTGATGTTAATGGTTTCCACTTCCCCGCATATTTTTTCAAAACCAGTATAAATGGGTTGGACACTGGTCGAACCATACCACCTTGCTTCACCTGCTAACAGTTTAAAGTTTAAACTGGTTTGACAATCTTGGTGTCTGGTGAACACAACTGCCTAAGGAAGACACAGTGGTAGCTCTTTAACTACCATATCAAGTGCATATATGTCGAAACAGCTTCTGGTAAAGGGTTTTCTCAAAACTCCTAATCAATGCCGACAAAACTGGAACAGGCTAATACACTGGATGGAAACTTCATCAACACATTGGCCGTGAGTTCGAATATATCTAACATCTTAGAGAAATTAGTAAAATTAGAGATTTTATATTTGGTTTTGTAAGAAAGGAGAGCAATAGAATAGAGTGTTAAGATAAACTTACCTTTATTAGACGGTTCTTGTGATAAATATTGAAGCCGTGGATATTGACCAGTGGTGCATCTTTTACAAATCCAATCGTAGTTATCACGTGAACCTAGAAAGTGAATAAGATAAAACAATCTCCTACAACCATATGGGGGTTTATGCTTTGCAGTGTAGTTGCAGCATCAGCAGATAAGAAATGAAACAAGATGCAAAATCGAGCTATCAAGAACAGGCATGCATCACAGCTTCATTTGTGTTATGAAACCACATCCTCCATCGAACTAGAGAAAGGTATATGTTATAAACAATTAACAGTATTTCACAACTGGAAATTTAGACTTCTTTCTTACTAGTAGTTTCCATGAGCAGCCCCTACTACGCCTCTCCACTCCACCACACCAAAACATATCTACTAGGGCAAATACGACAATCTCAATTTAAAATAATGGGAACTATGACACAACCACAAAGATCTTAACTTAAAGATGGGACACAACATGACAAGGTGCAACCCACTATTTCATTAGATACTTGTGGTATTGCTTTGATATTAAACTGCAACCTAAAGGTTGACTAACATGGCCGGACGGGCATCTATGAGCTCGAGTGGCCAATGCTAAGACTTGAGAACACGAGCAAAGTATATAGAAAAGCTAGCATACCTCTCTTAGTCCACCAGCCTGAGGTTTATACAAGATATATTCTGGAAATTTGAGATCATCAGCAAGATTATGGTCCATAACAACTTGCCCTCGCAATATTAAACTGAAAGTTTCAGGAATTCGCAGGTACAAGATGGACATATATGCCTACGAAGCAAAACGAATGAGTAAGATGGGTTCAAAAAACACTTACAGCAAAAGCAAGGAATGTGGTTCACTGTTAACTTACACGGAGAGAGTACTGTAAGCGCTTGGCAATGTGCTGTTCAGTTGCTATCCTCCAAGCAGAAGGTGATTCTTTCTTTCTGGAATCTCCTTCAACAAGAATGTCCTATAGAACAGCAAAACCAACTCAAGTTCAGATCAAAAGTCTTATACTAGATTCCAAAAGGAGCCCCAGATTAGTGATCTCTCCATTATTTCAGCGGTCATAATATTCATGTCTATGGAACACCAGATTCCCTGTTAAATTACTTAACAAGGGATGGATAAATGCATAGTACAGCAAGACGTCCAGACAGATCAAAGTTTGACGGGGAGGTATGAAATAAGGAAGAGGGATGAAGCAAATGACTGTCACCAAGAGAGCACGCAGACTGAACTTTGAGTTCATGATATAGTGAGAAATTATGCTACAATGCTACTCAAGACCAATACAAAGTGTAAGCATCCTTGGTTAGCATGAGTGATTAAGTTCACCCTTCTTTTTGTCACCTTAGAGATATATGACAAGTAGGCAACAGGCAGTTGCTTTCTAGGGAAACAAAAATTAAGAGTGTTCAAGATTTGAAGAATTACAATCGAATGACAAAACCACTCATACTGTTCAATTAAGTGTAAAAAGATGCTTTTTAGTTTTTTCAGGACCTTGTCACTGTAAAATTACTTGGAGCTGCTCCCCATATATGATATACTCTTTCTCCATCATCCTTTCCAGGATCAATTATGGTCCTACAATCTCTATGAAAGGTCAACTGCGATCTTAGCTTGAGAACTACAGCATATAATTACTGTGCTCCCTTCAAGGCAGAAAAAAAAAACACTAACTATTATTACAAGGATATATAAGAACATAGTATCTTGGAAAACAAATATTTTACAGATGAAAACAATGGCACTTTGCTTTTGATCAATTTAACTGGAGTTATTAATAATTGTACAAAGATTTCCTGAAAGCTTTAAATGCCAGCTCATTCAAAACTTGAACGATATTCAAACAAAAGGCCCCTTCCTAACCATTTAGTTTTGTAAAACCATCTGACATAAGAAAGTTCAGCCCATTCAAAGAAAATAACAGAGGCAAACCTGTGGATCTGTATTAAAGTCCAATTCCAAGTTTCCATCATCATTGTTCCACAGGTTATAGATCACAACTTTTGTCCCATGCAATCCAATATCATCAAACTGCAACAATATTGGATGATTACAAAAAATTAGGATGTGAGAATGAGGGTGACTAATGACTGGATGATTAATATAGCAAGAACGATGGTATGATTGTAACAGAATGTGAAAAGAGTGGTTTCCAAGAGTGCAATCTGTTTAGATTTCTGATTCCAGCACTGCAGAGTAAAAATATTCCGAACACCTCATATAATTATTAATTAGTGAAGGAAACAGAATCATCTCCCAGAATACGAACTCTTTTACCACCACATTATGACAATAGATTTTTAAAATTCTCCTACTGAGCACCCAAATGGTTGAGATAGTACTATATTGTGGAAAGGCCAATGAAATCTCCATAAGATTTAAACTGTAAAATGCATCAGGCTTTACCAACTTCAAAAGCTCTGATTCAGTAGAATATGGAGACCATTGCAAAAGCAGCGAAAGATTAGCCTTGAAAGACTCATTGGTATGCCGTTGTGAAATTTCCAACTTGCCATTTTCTGTATTAAACTCATAATCCACCTGTATAACAATGTATAAAAGACATGTAAATTGTTTAGAGAAAATTCGCTCACTTGTTGAATTTCTATGTGTACTCTAACAGGTTAGAGTTCTCCTTCAAACATAAACGGCAAGGAAAAAGCTTGTAGAGTAAATGTCAACTCAAGTACGATGCTGGCACTTAACATTGGCACTACTATTCGGTCATGACCCATCTGCATCAAAAAAGAATAAGATAGGAGACCAATGCTCTGAGTCGCAGTCCTATATATTTGATATGAATAAATAGATTAGTTGGGGCTCATGACGAATACCAGAAAACAACAACATTCGGCTAACTAGTATAGTCGATAACAATAATGAAGCACAAACTACAGGTACAACAAGATTATTATTTGTGAAATAACAATTTGCAGACAGTGGCACCAGTATCACAGTACAAAAATATAATTGTGATTGGAAATTCAGTAGCTCTCCCAACGATCATTGAACCTTTCAAGGTGCAAATATTTCATATTCATGACTAGCCATGTCAACAACTGATCCAATTGACTCATGGAATATAAAATACTGAAACTGCATACAGTAACAAGTTTGAAGAGCTCTTGCTAAAGTTGAAAGGACGAATACTAATTTATGTGATCATTCGAGCAACGGGGAACCTGAGTGATACAGCACAAAGTCATCACTTCACCAGGTTTTTAAAGGTATCATTTAATGGCGCACCTAACTATAGCTAGTATGTTGAAACCAGATTTTATTGGAAAATAAAGTAGCAAACTAGATCCTAAGCTGAATTAGTTGCTTACATCCATGAACAACCAACTTCATAAGGAGATTTCACAGATTCAATCTAACCTATCCAGCATATGGCGAGTGAAGACAACAACATCAGCTCCAAGCCTCATGCTGCTGGTTTTAAAGCCATTACCATCTGCAACACCAGATTCCATTGCAATAACTAAGAACACAAAGGGAAAATATATTGATATATAGAATTTTCATGCAAGATGCATACACTGTCCAATAGTTCCTGTAGACTTCTTATCAGAGAACCCAAAGCTCATACATTGCCGGAAAGCTTCAGGATCCATTCCCCCACCATCATCTAGTTTTCAGAGAAAGCCAGGTTTTTAAACGGAATAAGAAACATTAATTATCCACACAAATTTTTCATCAAGAAAGACAAAAGCAGAACCTATAACCATCTAGGAGTATAAACCATTTACCAAAAAACAGATTACCTTGAATTAACAATGCTGAACCCCCATCTCTTGGATTCAAGATTTTATCTACCTTGACAAAAGTTGCCCCATTTTGGATCTACCCATAACGGGAAAAACATAATATAATGGGGGAAACATCATTATCGTGCAATATCTGTAAATATGCCGCAGAGTGAATGAACTCTTAAAGAGAAAAATGAGAAGTAAGCCAAGCTATAGACACTTATCAATCGTTGCTTAAGTCTTCCTTCTTCAGCTATACTTAAGTCATGAAAGAAAAGTTCCCGAATTCCCCATCAAACTCATATTTCTCTTTGACGGTTTAAATAATCAAAGAGGGTAACAAGAAAACACCTTAATTCACCTCGTTTATTATGCTTGCTACTTATTGTACATGAAGCATAGCCTCGCAAACTTATGGAAAATAGTCATGTTCACTTTTTTTATGAACTATAAATGACTACAACGAGGCCACTGTTTAGAGAGGTAAAACAATAAAAATAGACAAATGAATTAAGGAGAAAATATTACCTCATCAATGGCATTGTCAAGCAATTCTGCAATTGCTGAAATTTGTCAAAATAAGAAAAATGAGATGCAGACAAATGATTAAACTATCACAACAGCAAAACGGAATAAAAGTGACCAAAAAACTAATTCAACTACACGTACCACCAAATGCCCACTTATGCGAAGTGGCATTTGAATGAAGAAACATGGGGTGAACATGGAGGCAGGTTTTCCCACCTGGTATCCATCAGATTGAAACATCAGCTAGAAGAATGAGGTGGACACTGGAAAGTAATTGCTTAACGAATATAGCACTCAGCAACTCAGGATTAAAAGGAACCAGAAAAAGTATCATCAGCCAGATGCAGGGGCAAAGGCACAAATCAGAAAAGCACGCTCATCAAATGGTTGAACGAAAGTGCAGGAAAAAGCTTATAGAAGCAATTAGTGCATCAAATGGCCACTTATTATTTCATGTAATATAATTATTGTTTTCAGCATACTCTGAAGATTTGACTTTGGAAAAGCACACTCATCAAATGGTTGAACAAAAGTGCAGGAAAAAGCTTTCTAGAAGCGATTAGTGCATCAAATGCCCACTTATTATTTCATGTAATATAATTATTGTTTTCAGCATACTCTGAAGATTGACTTTGGAGCCATGCGCATCACTATAGTTCCCAGCCTTCCAAAACTGGCGACAAAGAGGTGCTGGAGGCAAGATAGTGCTAGATGAAACTCCAGCATTGTCCACAGGAGACTGTCCCTGCTCCAACACAGTAGACCCAGTTAGGGAACCATGTGAAGTATTTGGGATTCTATTATCCTCAAACTCTTCTTGTCTGCTATATTGGCTCGTGTAATTCTGATGCTGTACTTGTTCAACGGTCCGGTTAATACTTTCTCGAGAACCAACCCTAAGACGATCTGGCTCCACATTCACAGCTATCATGGTCACCATCCCAACTTAACAGCTTCACTGGACAAAGTGAATAGTTCTTAATTAATCCACCATCTCCAATGTCATCGCTACATAAACCCAACACATTTGGAAAGACAAGAACCAAAGGTGGGGAAAAAAGGACTCAGAGAAGGCAAGTCAGCACGGTGTTAAGAAATCAGAATCATTAGCCAGTTCACTATATCATAGATCAAAAGCACAAGCATCATGACAAAAGGCACTTCAACACGCGCATGCAACCTAATATCCCAACACTAGCATCTATAGCAAAAGCCCTAAATTAGCAAGTCTGAAAACACCTAAAGCACTAAGAAGTGAAGGAAGGAGCAGCAACAGGCAGATTAGATGCATGAGAACATACAAACCCTACCCCAACCCAATACAATCATCCAGTGCAGAAGACCACCACCATAAGGCCACTTATCTTCTCAAAATTGCCATCACCGCAGAAAAAGAAGGATGAAGAATTACTTGCTATGACAGCATGCAAGCAGGCAGCTACACTCTTTCCAACACCTCCATTAGCGATCATGATTCGAGGAAATACAGTCCAGTAAGGGAAATGACAGTGAAGAGGAGGAAGAAGAAGAAAATTGAAATACAATTCTAACGAGCGAGACAATGTTGCATGCGATGCTAACGACACCATCCACAGCAAATGAGACTGATCAGAAGATCAAAATTCAAGGAAAAGCAATCCGCAAGGCCGGTTCAGTCGTAATGTGCGATGAGAGATGATCAACATTCTTGCGTCCGTAATGTTCGGGCCGAGAACATCATTTGAATAGAACAATAATGAAGCGCTGACCTACCTGAAGCAGGCGAAGCAGCTGAATTTCGGTTCAGGTTTGAAGCTGATTCCGATTATAGGAAGGACACGAAAACTTGAAGGTGGCTGCAATTGCTTCGGCAAAAAGAAAATGGCCAGCTGCTGAGTGCTGATCAGTGATTTTGAAGGGAGTATTTAGTACGCATGCCTAGCACGGCTAACTAGCAAGAGTGGAGGGTGGAGGCTGGACCGGCCTTGCGGATTGCTTTTCCTTGTGATTAAAAGTTTGGAACGAGTTAATTGTGATCTACAAAATGAGATCAATTTTCAATATATTTCGAGAAACTTTTTTTTATCAACTACATACCATATGGTAATTTCTTCGTTTTTAAGTTGTATTTGAAAACGTTTGCTGAGAAGGAACGAGTTCATCATGATCTATTGGATCTATAAATTTCTGGGTGAAAAAAATATTGGATAAAAAATTACCATACTTTACCACTATGGTATGTGGGTGGTAACTTGTGGTAAACAATGATGAAAGTCGTAAATGACAGTTAGTATACTCCTACCATCATGTATTCAACATTCTTACCATATTGGTATGTACATACCACCGTAGTACGCTATCTTACCATATGGTATTAAATAGGAGCATACCATATGGTAACGACTGGTAAAAAATTATTCAATTTTTTTGTACTAAAAAGGTATCAAAGTGGATATCATTTTAAAGAGCACATTTAATCTGATTTATCTGTGCAAAAAAAATCGACTTAAAATGAGAGAGAAATCGTCCGTTAAAAATTAAAGGAGAAAAATAAAAGACTTTACAGGAGAGAGAGGATACTGATGTCATGCTGATATGGACAGATTAATCATGGTTACTGACCATTGAGTTACTGACCTGATTCGTTCCCACTTTTTTAGGTGTAAAATACGAATAATATGAAAGCTACAGGAATTTACATGGTTTTCCGCTCGAATTAAGGTGTCGATTTAGTTGATGGATTTGATACCCAAATTTTAAATCTTGTGTATTTGATAAAAAGGTATTGTTTGTTGAGCTATATAAATCTGTGGTTCACGGATTTAGACCTACATATTTGCAATCTATTTTCAGAACCGGACCGGCGGTTGAACCGAAAAAGTTAGTGGTTTAGAGTTCAATGGTTGACCGTTACAAAACCGTTGATAGAACCGTTCATGATATATCACATATAAGACTTGTACATTACACTAATTTAAGAATGACGTTATCATTGACCATAAATAATTTCAAATTCATATCATCACCAAAATATCTAATTAATCATTCAAGCAGTCTCAAAAAAGAAATCATATTTTTTAGTTCAAATTAAAAATTGCGGTGCCAGTCAATAAATGGAAAATGTAGAGTCGACAACAAGGTTGAAAAATGAGGTAGTGCTTCTACTATTTATTTTTTTTTTTTTTGGTTGGTTGTTGATCCCAAAGTTGGAACTCAAGGTATGATCGATGTTCTCATCTCCGCATTACTAATAGGTCAACCCCTTGGGTTTGGTGTTTTTGCTTCTACAACTAATACAAAACAACTAAAAATAAAAAGAATCCAAAGGGCAGAAATGATTTGTTTTGTTTGTATGGGTACATGGTTATGAAAAGAAGTTCAAATGTAATTTTTGCTCCAAAATATTCGTTGGTGGTATGCTTCATTTTAAACTAGGAAGAGTGTAGAGTTTTCTCGTGACGTGAAATAGCAAATGTTGGCATTGTTAGCTTTCAACTAGAGTTCTCTCTATTATTACGTTTTATCAAACATGTCATTCTACTATTTTTTTACATCAAATATGTCTATGTACTTTAAAAAAATTATCAAACATGCCCTTCTGTTAACATTTCCATTGGAAAAATCGTCAATCATGGTTGAACCGAGATTTAGACGACCCGACATCTGCAAATGGGAAGAAAAATGTCAGTTTTGTCCCATGTTTTATTTCCCTGGCTCTTTTCAAAGTGAAATTATTTGAATGATTTGATTATACAAAAGAACCAAAAAAATTCTAAAGTGAATTTATTAGGAATCTTTTAATCATTTGTGTCGCCCAAACTAAAGTTCGGCCTTGGTTAGCGGTTTTTGGATAAAAATTTTAACAAAATGGCATGTTTGATCATTTTTACAAAATACAGGAGCATGTTTGATATAAAAAATAATAGAGAGACATGTTTGATAAAACGTCATAATAGAGGGGCATATTATACCTATAACCGAAGTCATTACATAATCTCCAATCCACACTTTGACTTGTATTCCTCCTCACTCCATCCCCATTCCAATCAATCCTCCAATTCATGCTCTGACGCTGGATCTTGCCGCCCGGCCTACTTTCGGCCCATGAAATTGAAATGTCTTCCATCTCATCATCCCGCCGCCAAGTTATGCAAAATTCCCCTTGTCCCCTTGATGCTGCTACTGCTGCTACTGGCCTACTACTACTATGCTTTCAGGCATCTGGGTGTGGATCCGTGGCCTTGATCTTGGCTGCTTTCGATAATGACGGTTTCTTCTGCGCCATAGATGCAAGTGGGAAGCAAGATGTAAGATGTTATCTAGAATTTGGTCAGCCATCTCAAGCCCAAGGAGAAGGGAAATCGTGGTCGTGAAATTACATAGCGGCAATAACAGCAAGCTACTCGAGGAAAAAGGTTCCGAACCCGGCAATGATCCCGACAATGATGGCTAGCTTCTTTGTTTTCGTCGTCAGCTCCTTGAAATCGAAAGCGATTAAGTCATTGTTGAAGTTGGTGCTTCCTCAATCCTCCGTCGATCTTCCCCATAGCTCAACCTTGAGGCTTCAACGATGTAAGATGTTATCTTCCCCATAGCTCAACCTTGTAGGTTAAATCCAAGGTTGTCAACCCGCGGTTTGACCCACTTTGACCCTGACCCGGTGAGAAAAACGGGCCGCACGCATCCGTCGGGGCGACCGCCACAAGGTACTGGGTTGGAGGTCAAATTGTGTCTTTTTTTTCTTTGTTTTGCGAAATGTGCCTATTTTCCGATTTTTCTTTTCGCCTTACTCAATCTTTGGAATCCTAAGTTGAACATTCGAATATTAATGTTATATAAGTGTGTGTGAATTTTCACTATATGTTGAATCTAAGTACGAAATGTTATTTTGGTGTAATATTATAATATGTTATAACTCATATGTTAGATTAGATTTGATATAATTTATCAGGATAAGTACAATATAATGACGGTTTCCATATTTCCGGGCTAAACCGGGCTAAAACGGGTGACCCATTAACCCTTGACCCACTAGCTTAACCGGGTCCTTGTCAACCCGCGGGTTGACAACCTTGGTTAAATCTGATTGATTAGAGGATTCAGTTTGTCACATCTGCAATTATTAAATTTCATTAATTCAGTTGACGGAGATTAATAGAGAGTGACTAAATGTGAGCGGTTAAATTAATCTTAGGGGTAAATTGCAAGGTTGGTCACTGGAAGTGCTAAAATATTCACGTTTGGTCACTAAAAGAATTTTATTCCATACATGGTCACTGAAAAGTAGTTAACGTTTCACGATTGATAACTCTTCGTTAGTTTCCATTAACATCGTTAGTGGTTTGCTTACGTGGCAACAAAAAAATGCTGATTCATCCAATTTTGACATGCCACGTCATAAGACTTGACCTGCCACATCATTTCCCAACTCAATTCAACCCGTGACCCGACCAAACAAAATTGAAGGAACCCAATTCTTTAATTCCTCTACACATCCCTCGATCTCCCCCCATCTCTTCTTAGCCTTTCTCCTCTTCTTCTTCCTCTGTTTGCGGCGCGCCTCCTCCTAGCCTTCGTCTGCTACCCTCCGTCGCTCAAGCATCCTTCTCTGCAACTCTTCCTCGTTGTCGCCCGACCACCCTTCGGCGCTGCTCATCATCTTCTCAAGATGGGATTCCCAAGGCCAGGGGAAATTGTAATATGTCTCTCCTAGAAGTGTTGCTGCTATCATCTTCGTCTCCCCAAGCATCGACAACTTCATCTCCGCACTCGAGTCCCACACCACGCCGACGCCGATTGGACCTTCAAGAATATCCCGCAACCTTCTCTAGTCAAGCTTGATCTGGGAGAATTGCCTCTTTGCCCCGTCAATTTCAGACTCGGCGAGCGAAACTAACTCCAAGGACAGTTGGGGCCCGAATCCAAGGGCGGTGGCCAACCTCCGACTTTATGACATGGCATGTCAAAATTGGATGAATCAACATTTTTGGTTACCACGTCAGCAAACCACTAACGGCTAATCGAAACTAACGGAGAGTGACCAATCGTGAAACGTTAACTACTTTCAGTGACCACAAATGGAATAAAATTCTTTTAGTGACCAAACATAAATATTTTAGCACTTCCAGTGACCAACCTTACAATTTACCTCTAATCTTAGTGACCACAAATGAATACAAAAATTCAGCGGCCAAGCTCAGAACTCTTTAATAATCTCAATGACCAACATGCAATTTACCCAAGAAACTAACATAGTGGTTTTAACCTCTAACCAATGCTAAAATCACAATGTTCGGTGCACCGACGGTCTAACAACCAGAAAATCTCTACCAAAATCCAAACCATCACTGTTGAAACACAGTTAAACGGCAAAAACCCTACCACAAAACCCTATACCATTGACTTCTTTGGTGCAGTCTCTTTTACAATCCCTGGTTCTGACAACAATAGTTGCCAATAAACCCCTCCCTAGAACCTGTTACTAGATCAATGAAAACCAATCATTAAAAAGAGCGTGATGATCACACGTTTCACATAGCAGTCTGCAGTCAGACATTTCAGGTCTTCAGAATAGGTCTCTCATGAGATTAGAAGACATGAAATTGCCAGGAATGTCTGCCTCGGGAAGGTTAGAACTTAGAAGTGTCATTACGATATGTGTGTGAGCCTCAGCCAATCCTGAAAGGGCCTACAGTTCACCTATTACAATTTCCGAAGGCAACATCTTCCCAGCCCATGAATTCACTCCACAATCCCCCAACCAACCCTCACGACTCGAGTCACGCCAACTCTTCCTCTCGCCTACTTCTGTTCATCTAAGCATTAAGATACAACATGGACTTTACAAATGAAAGAATTAAGACGTGACGGCTACTACAGCACCATGGATTTACATATTTACGATCTGATTCTCCTGCTTCACATCATCGACTAAGGTTAGTTCTGCCATGAGGCGCTCATATTCAACATCTTGTTCTTCCAGTTCCCTTGTAAGTTGTATTACCTGCATATCCAAAGTCTTTCTATTATCATCCAATATTACAAGAACAAGCATAAAAACACTCCATCGGGTTAGTTGAAAAGCAATGGAAGATCGTAAGAATTGGAAATAATGCTTTGTATCAGGTACCCTTAGATTGAGCTCTTCCTTCCGTATCTCGAATTCAACCAATCTGGGGGGAAAAAAGGATTCAGAAATTGAGCATGACAAAAGCATCAAGAAAATTAAGGCTTGCACAAGTTTCTAAAATGCATGAAGATCACTCGATAGTCATTCAGAGTCCAATCATAAAGATCAAGAATTAGATTTTATCCAATGAATTGTAGATATGCGGTCACAACGGAACCAAAACGACATCCAACACATGAATACGCTATTAGCTTTACAGTATAATGATATACTTACTCTGCTCGGAGTTTTTTGTTTTCCTCCATCAACACTACAGCCTCATTTTGTGTCTGAGGCTCAAGAACCAGCTGAATCACCAAAAAAATAAGAAAAAAAAAGTTTTTCAACAATACAAGAATATGTTCAAGCTATGTCTAGTACACTAAAAAGTATACAACACCCGAATAATAAACCTAATAATGATATGAACTCTTTTGTGTTCCATCGAAAAAGGAAGTGATTCTAACATAGTTTTTTGGTTCATTGCAATTTTGAGATTTCTAGAAATTTCTTTATTCTCCTTCCGTGATAATTATTGCCCCACAATCATTTGGTATAATATCATGAGCATGAATGGAGAGTAATTTCCCCGACAGGGTAGTAAAAGGTTAAATAATAAGGTGCTGGTTTCTTACAGAGATCTCTCCTCTGGAACTGGATGCTGAAATAACAGAACCTTCTCCAGTTCTGGGCTGCTTTTTGACACTTCCAGCATGCAGTGAATTGTTGTGCTCCTTCCTTTTAATGCCTAATCCGGATAGAGAGACAGCAGCATTGATCAGATGACTGAATAATCGTATCATGATATCTTGTTTTCCTACTGAGTACTCAAAAGCTCAAAACTTATTTGTGCGTTTACCAAAAGAAGTTGCTTGAGCTGTATCAACAGTAGGGAATCTTTGATTTGACATGAAAGAATTTGCATGGGAACTATTTGCTATAGCTGGAGGATCATGTGGAGTGCTCACTGGTCTAGCCTTCTTTTTTACCTGGTATCCGATCAGCCCACAATGAAAATCCCTGCCAAAGTACATTAATTAAGTTAGCATATTTCAAAGAATAAATTCAGTTAGCATATTTCCTGAGAGGAGAGAAATGAAACATGATTCAAAGAATAAATTCAAAGAAGAAAACCATGATTCAAAGAATAAATTCAGTTAGCATATTTCCTGAGAAGAGAAAAATGAAAAATTAAGAGAGTAAGGCAACACTACAGCATTTTTCTATCAAGTTGGAAAATCATCAAGCCAACAAGGTAAAATCTCTCCCATTTGTATGTTCTTTACTTGTTCTCGTGACTTAACACCTTAAACTTCACATGGCTACACGCTTTCAACTTTATGAGTATCAAATGGAAACTTGGTCCCAACATGAAAACATCTTACCAGTATTCATACGTCATCTCCTTCAATCGAACTTCGAGCTTTTGGAAAAGGGAAGTTCTCTCAAAGTCCTGTTTGTTATGAGTTGGCTCAATAAAATTTGCTTCTAGAATACCTACATAAATAACAGCTGATTTGTTATATATCATTCCTAGCACAAACCAAAGTCACAGGGAAAGGATGTTCTTCAACAGACTCTCACCTACCACTCCTCTGCCCCTACTGTCAGCATAACTTACAACTGGCATAAAAGGCTGCAACGAAAAGCATGTTAACAAGACGCATGTTAATCTAATGGCAGGATTAGAAGAAAGGTATTGCAAGAAAAAGAAAACATGCATAGTTGAGAAGCACTTGTTCCATTCACTTAGTCATGCATGGACCACAGATAACACAATTGTGTGCCACGCATAGAGACAGTTACCTTAATGAAGTCACAGTCATGTTTTTCTAAAAACCACTCTACCTAATATCAGAGGCTGAAATTGATAACATGACAGTGTAGGGTTTAAAACACTCCTAACAAATACCAGCAGGAAGAGCTGCCATCAAGCCATACACTACATGGAAACTTAGCAAACGCATCGGCCATTTTTTATGTGATATGATATGCTTTTTATGTAACTAAAAAGTAGTTGGTAGGGGTTGAGATTTTTTCCTGTAATGAAAAATAATATTAAAGTTTTCTCAAATGACTAGGATGAATAAAAGACATTCCCTATTCAAGAGGCAAATTTAGAAGCAACCTTTCCAAAATGAGGTGACATTTTATAAATTAATTAAATGTCTGCAGACCCACCGTGTACAATATTCCTATTTTTACAGAAAGACTTGAGAACTATAACTTTATAGTTGAATCCCCACATGAGAGAGGAGAGAAACAAGTATTGGCTATTGGGGTGAACACTACCTGAATTAGACGATTCTTGTGATAAATATTGAAGCCGTGGATGCTGACTCGTGGTGCATCTTTTACAAAACCAATCGTAGTTATCACATGACCCTGGAAAAGGGAATCAAAGCCAAACTCCTATCAGATAAGGGATTATGTTTTGTGGTGGCACATTGACAAGTAAAACATGAGACAAGGTGCAACTACAAACTATCAAAAACAGGCACATGTACCACTGTTTCACTTGTTATGCTGCACATAGGCATATCATCTCTCAATTGAGAAAGGTGAATGACGTAAAAAGAGCCAGTGTCTGGTCAAACAGCACCTACTAAGACTTGTGTCTGGTCAAACAGCGCCTACTAAGAATTTCCACTAAACCAACAGATACACTACTATCACAATTTAAGATGCTGGAAACAATGTAACTATGAGAATCTGAATTTATACATAGACCATAGGATGACAAGGTTTAACCTAGTCACAAATATATGCTCTCTTCTTTATGACAGGTTGAAGAAATCATTGTCTAATATGCACTGGACAGGATAACCTTGATTTGCAAGGCAATAAAAAATGAGACGATGAAGACTTCATCTTAGAAGGAGCAACCGATAAACATTGATACTCCATCAAGCAGTGGAACTTCTACTAGCTGGACATATCTCAAATACTCAAGAACCATCCAATGCAGGTGATGAATGCATGAAGGACACATCAATGGAAAATTGGGACTATTATGGATGCCCCTTGTTCACATTCACTTCTCCAATGGTGAGCACCATGTCTAACTCCCTGCCTCTTATTGCTTGAAAAGAAATGGTAATGACTTTGCTTAATGGTCAGATTGACGGATAAAGTAGAATTATCCATCACATTGCAGAAGTAAAGAATGTTGGTTAATGTGAAGAGTGCTACTTCCTTGGTCGAGTATTCTCCAAACAACCATTCAACAACATACTGCAACTCTTATTTATCTAAACAAAGGCAGACGCATTATGCTCTGCTGCTAAGGAAGTAACACTCATCATATTAATCAACGGTGCTGCCTTTTGTAACCCGCCGGATATTCTAATCTGTCCGTCAAATCTCAGTTTTTGTTCCAACAAAACACCGAACTCATCAGCATCATATTCAAGATCTCAATGGATAACCAAAGCCTGGGGAGTTAGACATGTTCCTCGACAACACAGCCAACCAATTAGAAAGAACGGTTGCAAGTCTATTCACACTGACACCATAAAGCCGAAGCGGATATTATTTCATGTCTCCTGCCCAATATTCATATAACTTAGTATATGAAGTGGCATTACACTGTAATGTGCAGGTTGAGTAACATGACACTGTACCAACATCCACAATCTAGGGAGCGGTTCAATTGACCATGGGAGACCAATAAAGCCACACAAAAAAAAACAAAAAAAAAGATAGCATACCTCTCTTAATCCAGCAGCGTGAGGTCTGTACAAAATATATTCTGGAAATTTGAGGTCCTCAGCAAGATTACGTGGCATAACAATTTGTCCACGCAATTTAATACTAAAAGTTTCAGGAATTCGCAGGTACAGGATGGACAAATATGCCTAAGAAGCAAAACGGAACATCAGTAATAGAGGTTAGGATACTCTTGTAGAAGATGCAAGGAACGGCGTTCACTAGCAACTCACATTGAGAGAGTAATGAAAACGATTGGAGATGTGCTGCTCATTTACTGTCCTCCAAGCAGGAAGTGATTCTACCTTTCTGGTATCTCCTTCAATACGAATGTCCTAAAATAGAACGGAAAAAAATGACTCAATACAAAACAAAATCCTTACACTAGATGCCAAAGGGAACCCTAGATATGTATTTAAACAAGAAGCTTCAATCAATTGAAAGAAAAGAACAGAGGCAAACCTGAGGATCTGTATTAAAGTCCAATTCCAAGTTCCCATCATCATTGTACCACAGGTTATAGACCACAACTTTTGTCCCATGTAATCCAATATCATCAAACTGAAACACGTATTATAGGGTTAGTAAATTAGGATGTGAACATGAACACACTGATTGGATGATCAATAAAGCAAGAACGAAAATCACAAAAAATAAAAATGGAGAAGAATTATGGTAAAAATTTAACAAAAAGTGCACCCTGCTTGAATTTTCTACCTCCACCACTGCAGACTCAAAATCAACTGAACTTCCATATAACTAGTGAGGAAAACAGAATCAGCATCCCTAATTATGAAGTCCATTACCGCCTCCATACAACAACATATTTTTATCATTCCCCTACTTTGCACCCAAATGAGTTCAGAAACTTAAGAAATTATGAACAGGCCTATAAATCTCCATTAGAGTTAAATTGTTACAAAAGTAGCAAAAATGGATGATACCTGCTTCAAAAGCTCAGCTTCAGTAGAATATGGAGACCATTGCAAAAGTAGAGTAAGGTTTGCCTTGAAAGACTCATTGGTCTGCCTATGGGAAATTTCCCACTTGTCATTTTCTGTATTCAAGTCATAATCCACCTGCATAATAATGCATAGGAAGTAATTAAGATTTATGAGAGCAAACCTCTCATTGGTTTAAATACTAAGTGTACCCTGAAGGAAGAAGTGTTCGATTCAGTGCCGACATACATTTTGAATGTAACATTACCCACTCACAAAATTAAGAGCTATAAAAGTCTTACTAACAAGACTTGAATAAACAAAAAACAAAACAAAAAAAAAGGTACAGCCCCTTCTAACGTAGACAGTAAGGAAGAAGCAAGTAGACTAAACGTCGTTTCAAGTGAGATGTTGGCACTCACCATTGGGACTATTATTCGATCATGGCCCATTTTCATCAAAAAAGAATAGGATAGGAGACCAATGCTTTGAGTCGCATTCCTGCATATTATACATGGAATAAATAGATTAGATGTATCTGATGATGAATACGAGACAACAACATTTGGCCCACACAAATATAGTCCATTACAACATAATAAAGCACAAATTTTGGGAGCACCAACGCTTACTTGCTTTGACACTATTTGTCCAAAAAATAGCCAAAAAGTTACCATAGTGTATCACAGTACAAAAAAGAATTGTTATTGAAATTCATAAGCTTATCAGGAATCCATATTAAAGAACCTTTCAAGATGCACAACTTCCACATTACAAGACCAGCCATAGAAAAACTTATCAATTTCATTTCAGGAACATACAGTTCCATAAGTGCTAAGCAAAAGATTTTATGTGCACTTGCTCTCAAAGTGAAAGAACAAATATTAACTGATATCAACACCACCTCCTTTTAGAGGAATGATTTAATGGCCCCTTCGCCTCACAACAGCTAGATCGTTGAAAACAGATTTTAACGAGGAAAAAGTACCTTGCCAAACTAGATGCTAAAGTCTATTAGTTGATCACTCCAGAGTATAATACAAGTTGTAATGAGATTTCAATGATTCGGTCTAACCTATCTTCCATATGACGAGTAAAGACAATAACATCAGCTCCAAGTCTCATGCTGCTGGTTTTAAAGCCATTACCATCTGAAACACAGTATTCGACAACAATAAGTAGGAGATACAAAACAAAAATTCATAGATATAGAATTGTCAGGTTCGATGCATACATCGGCCAATAGCTCCAGTAGATTTCTTATCAGAGAACCCAAAACTCATGCATCGTCGGATCGCTTCAGGGTCCATTCCCCCGCCATCATCTAGTTTTCAGAGACACCAAGTCTTTAAGGAGTAAGAACCAATATTTACAATTACAAAGACAAAGACAAAAAGAGGAGATAGCCATCTAGGAAATCGGACCATTTATTTTAAAAGGAGTACCTTGAATTAACAATGCAGAACCTCCATCTCTTGGATTCGAGATTTTATCTACAATGACAAAAGTGGCCCCGTTTTGGATCTACCCAATAACAGGAAAATCATAACAGGAAGAAGGCAAAACATCATTATGAACTGTATTTAGCATTCAAGGTTTGCATAATACTTGACCAATTGAAATGAATTTTGAAAGAGAGAAGAACTCTACAGGTGACCTCACTTATTGTAACTTCAAATTCAGATTTCTCATTGATAGTTTGAATAAACGAAGGGAAAAGAAGAAAGAAACTTGTCCAGATTTTCTTTTCTTTCGCTCTGAAAAACAACAAGCTGACAAACTTCAAGAGCTTGATCACAAGTTTTTGTATCACTTGATTCAACTACCCTACGGAAACTAAGACGAAGGAGGTCCTTTTCACAGAAGAAAACAAACAAGGATAAGAAGATACAGTGTATTTCCTAGCCAGTAAATATCCACGGTGAATCCTCACTTAAGTATTCAACAAAGCTATACATACACAGAAACACGAGAACTACGATGTTTTGCCAGCCATACCTATGACAACCTCCCAAAGCAACCAGTAGCGGAAGGGGAAAAGAGCATTGCTTTAGAGCTAGCAATGGTTTTAGGTCTTTATCATGAACCCGACTACTACAGACCTACTGCCAGCTGCTGAGCCAGGTATGTATAAGTATCAGAGTAGAATTTTTAGGTAGTTCAACCACTAAGCATCTACGAGCCAATGAGCTTTCATATGGACTTAGCTCGAAGATCAAAAAGAGTCATCGACGTGGATTTGAAACGATGACTAAATTTATACCTTACAACCTATTTCAAAACGGTCATCATCAAAAGTTGAATAACTCTTGCATAAGTCCAAACCACAGTGCACAATGCCTAACATGCATTACCAAAACATGGTCTCACAAACTTATGGAAGGCAGTCAATCATGTGGATGCTCAGGCTCAGGCTTTGATGACCCATGCACGATTAGAATAATGCCACCACATACGAAGGATAAACAGCAAAACAATCTAAGAAATTAAGTTGCAAATATTACCTCGTCAATGGCATTGTCAAGCAATTCTGCAATTGCTGAAAGCGATCAAAAAGAGTGGAATAAGATACAGGAAATTGAGTGAAATTTGACAACATCATATTGAAATAAACATGAGTGAAAAAACTGGGTCAACTACACGTACCACCAAATGCCCATTTATGTGAAGTGGCATTTGAATGAAGAAACATGGGGTGCACGTGAAGGTACGTTTTTCCATCTAGCATCCACCAAACAGAAAGCACAACATCAGATATAAACAAGAGGTCAACATAAGTAGTAGCTATTCGATGAAACAAGGACAATCAGCCTTAATTGGAGAAACAACATATAATGACTCAGTTGCAAGGACAAAGCAAAGCAGAAAAGAATCACACAATTGGTAGTGCAAATGTGCATGTGACAGTTTTCTATCAGCAATTAATAATAAGTGAAAACCTCGTTTTAGAGGTATTTATCATGCAACATAAGAAACATGCAGCATACTTTGAAGATTGACTTTGGAGCCCTGTGCATCACTATAGTTCCCAGCTTTCCAAAACTGCCGACAAAGTGGTGCTGGACACAAGGTTGAGGTAGAAGAAATTCCAGTATCATCCACGGGAGACTGTCCCTGCTCCAACACACTAGAGCAAGATTGGGCAGTATTTAAGGTAGTGGAGCTTCTATTCTCCTCGGAATCTTGTTTTCTAGATTGAATCGTGTACTTCTGAAGCTGTACTTGTTCAACGGCCTGGTTATTTGTGGCTCCAGATCCATCCCTCAAAAGATCTGGCTCCAACTTAACAGCTTTCATGCTGACCATCCCAAGCTTATCATCACTACACAAGCACATAGTTCTTAATTAATTCACAATCTCAGAAGTAATAGGTACACCAAACACATTTGAAAGAAAATAACCAAAGGTGCAAAAAGAAACTAGCACTGGTAAAAAGGATAGCAAAAGCCCCAAGTTAGCCAGAACACATCTTAAGCATAAGAGGTGAAGGACAAGCAAGAGGGAGATCAGATGCAAGATAACAAACAACACCCAACCCAGCCTTCCAGACCAGAGCAACCCTATAGAAGCTCTCTCTGGCTATGCAATCTATCTTCTCAATTACCACCACAGCAGAAGAAGAAGAGTGGGGGGAAAAAACTTGAAGATGACAATATGCCAACTGTCGAAGCAAGCAGGCAAATGCAATGCAAGCGACAGCTTCTCCTTCCACCACTTGCATTGGTAAAAATGTTCCCAACAAACACAGCCCATTACGGAGGAACAAGAAGAAGAAAGAAAGAAGAAGAAGGTTGAAAAACTTCCAACAAAAACGGCACCATTAAGGATAAAAGCGTGCTGCATGCAGTGGCGATTTGCTGACGACACCGTCCACAGCAAATGAACCCAGCCACTTGAAACAGAAGTTACAGGGAGACCAACGAGAAGATAAATTTGAAGTAAAAGCAGACCCCACGAGTTGGTATGCAGTAATCAGACAGATGAGAGATTACCCAACTCACTGAGTTGGTCATCTTTGGGCCAACGGCATTTAAAGGCAAGAAAGTCAAGGGCTGACCTTTTTGAAGCGAACAAGGGAACTAGAATTTGCTTCCAATTCGCTTCTAACAGCTGATTCCAACTCTAAGGATCGTCGAAAACCAGAAGGCAATGCCAATTGCTCCAGACGCAATAGAAAATCTGCTAACTTCGAATCAAGGCGAGGAGAGAATGGCTGGCAAGTTTCGATCTTCTCCCTCCCGCGCGTTCTTCGTCCTTCTCTCTGACCTTCTAATGCTATTACTTCCACGTTTGGAAATTATACTAGTTCTTCTTCTTCTTCAATCTCCTCCCTTGAAACTACAAAGTAAACGAGACTAGTGTCGCAAACCCTAATTGTGTTGGAAGTTGGAAGAGGGTAGGGTCTAGGGACTAGGGCGATACCTAGTATGGGTATTGAACTATTGATTGGGCGGGTCACCGTTCACAACTTAGTTATGCTGCTCACAACATAAATTGTGAGTAGATACTCACACGGTGGATCTATTATCCACGAGGGCGAGACTCAGATGGCGTCGGTTTGGGTTGAGAAAGGTGAGTCGGTTTGGGTTGGCTGGCCAAACCCTCGACTGACCCACCACAAATTCAAAAACCACAAATTAAAAATCCACCACAAATTCAAAAACCAAAAATTCAAAAACCATTAATTCTTTCCCCAAATCAGTTTCTCCGCCAGAACCACTTTCCCCTCTCTCCCCCTTTTCCCCTCTCTCTCACTTTCCTCCTCTCACGAACACGACGAAGAAGCAGCGATTTCACGGCGACCACCAGCGAAGCGGCGGCGACGGACCTGCGAAGCGGCGGCGAGGGTGCAGCGTAGCGGTGGTTGGTTTCGGCGGCGGCGACGAGGGTCCAGACTAATCGGCGGCGACGAAGGGCAGGGTTTCGGAAGCGACGAAGGCCGGGGTTTCACGTCGACGAAACTTGTGTTGACGGCGGCGACTTTGCAGACTAATCGGCGGCGACGAAGGGCGGGATTTCACGGCGACGAAGTAGCGGCGGTTGGTTTGACGGCGGTCGTTGGAGAAAGAACTACTTTGTGGACTAAGGTAACTGTCTTATTTATTTTGTTCGGCAAGATATGCATTCTGTTCCTTCTGGATATCCGTTGTTTATTGCCTGGGTTGTTGTTTGATGTATCTTGATATTGGTTTTGTTTGAGCATGATATCAGTTATGACTTTCTTGGATAGTTGTTTGATAGGATCTGCACAAGAAGCAGCTCGAGGTCAAAGCAAGGCGAGGTACAGATTTCGGTGCACTCTAAATCTTTGCTACATGTTATAATCTGTTTTGTGTGCGTTCGATATTATTTATTTTGATTCGGGATATCCATTGTGTTTTGCTTGGATTGTTTCTTTGATATATCTGGATATCCATTGTGTTTTGCTTGGATTGTTTCTTTGATATATCTGGATATTGGTTTTTACTCAGCATGATATGGGTTCTGACTTGCCTGGATAATTGTTTGATATATCTGGATATTGGTTTTTAATCAGCATGATATCAGTTGTGACTTGCCTGGATAATTGTTTGATATATATGGATATTTGGTTTTTATCAGCATGGTATCATTTGTCACTTGCCTGGATAATTGTTTGATATATCTGGATATTGGTTTTTGATCAGAATGATATCATTTGTGACTTGCCTAGATAATTGTTTGATATATCTGGATATTGGTTTTTGATCAGCATGATATCAGTTATGACTTACCTGGATAATTGTTTGATATATCTGGATATTGGTTTTTGGTCAGCATGATATCAGTTGTGATTTTCCTGGATAATTGTTTGATATATCTGGATATTGGTTTTTAACCATCATGATATCTGTTGTGAATTGCTTGGATAATTGTTTGATATATCTGGATATTTGTACGTGCAGGGATAAAAACGAACGTGAAGAGACAGCGACGAAATCCACCGCCGTCACCACCGCCACAGCCAGAGGAGGATGAGGAAGAAGAAGATGCTGAAGTCGCTGCGCAAGTACATGCACAAGGAGTAAAGACCTTTAGATAGGGTTCAGTTTTCAAATACTGATTTTGTATCCGATTGAAAATGTTAGGAGTAAAGACCTTTGCCGCATGTTGTAGGAACGGGCTATCCTCCATCATAATATAAGGAACCGATTGTTTCCCATTGTAGTCTGACTCAGTCTCCTTGCGTCTTTTTTCAGCCAACAAACTACATTTACAAAGCACGAGAAAGAGTTTAGTGCCCAGACTAATATCCACTCAAACCAATACTAATATCCCAACTAAACAAAGTAATATCTAACAATAGCATATAAATATCCGGACAACGCTGACAAATATCCAAAATTTAAGTAGACTAATATCAAAGAAAGGCAAAGAAATATTCTGCGTACCTGCTAAAGTGAATGAAAAACAAGTCCAAATCATTTTCAAGAAAAGTCGCACTTGTGCATTGCACGACTCGCTGGCTTGCGTAGTCAACATCCCGACTGTGAATTGATCTCTCAACCATAAGGAACACCATCGACGACGAAAACCTACAAACATCCCTGCACAAGACAACTATTAATGACAATGCATAACTGAACGAGTGTCGAAAAAACTTAAGGGAATTAGGAATTGATATTATGCCAACACATGTCAACAAATATCTGTAAAACTCAGACTAGTATCTCATAATGTCATACCAATATTCGTCCTTTTACAAAAACATATCATGTCAGGCCATGTCAATATCGGCCCAAAAAACTATCCCGACTATGAATTGATCTCTCAACCATAAGGAACACCATCGACGATGAAAACCTACAAACATCCCTGCACAAGACAACTATTAATGACAATGCATAACTGAACGAGTGTCGAAAAAACTTAAAGGAATTAGGAATTGATATTATGCCAACACATGTCAACAAATATCTGTAAAACCCAGACTAGTATCTCATAATGTCATACTAATATTCATCCTTTTACAAAAACATATCCTGTCAGACCATGTCAATATCGGCCCAAAAAACTATTTTATGAGCCTTCGGCCCATGGGCCCTCGGCGGGCGGCCCTTACTAGGCTGCAAGCCACCATCCCAAAATCTTCCTTCCTTTTTCAAGTTCCCGCCCGGGCCGCCCAAAACACTGCCCACCTCCCGCCCTAAAATTTGGGCCGCCCAAAAAACTACCCACTTCCTCCGCCCAAAAGTTCGGCTCGCCCAAAAAAAGGAAACGACCCCCCTCCTCTCTCCTCGGCGGATATATGTGTCTGTGAGTATCTACTCACAGTTTAACCTGTGAGCAGTTTAACTTTTTCGCACCGTTCATAACCATCCAAATCCACCCAATAAAACCAGACCCACTATAATATGGGTGGACATAAGAGGGTGGATCAGGTGAGCTGATGACTGATGGGAATGGGCGGGTTAGGTAGGGTTTTGCCAAATTCAAACTCATAGGTTTATCCGTGAAAAAAATTCGGGGTAAAATCTACTGGATTTGAAAAACTCAAACCCAACTTGCTGGGTATCCGTGGGTTCATGGGTACCCACGGGTTTTTGTCGTAAAAATTTACAATAACAAGTTTCTATCAAAATTAAAGCCAAATACTAATCTCTCAATAGTCAATACAAATTATCCATATATAAAACACCATTTTAGAAAATTCAAGCAAATCACAAATTAACTATACAAATTGTTCAACACCAATCTAGAAAACTCAAGAAAATTGAAACAAATCACAAATTATCCATCTATCTATCTATATCTATCTATCTATATCTATACTAAATATTATGGCTATTCAAAAATAACTTCTTGCCACATAAGCATTTGGTGAATGCACAAGTTGTCAAGGTGGACAATTTTTTACAAACAAAAAGCTATTTATTGATCTATTTATGAAGCTATCTCTCTCTTCTTTTAATAATTCTACTCATTTTTACTAAAATTAAAATTAGTTAATTTTATAGGAAACATTTAAACAAACAAACACATACATAAGTAATAATCTTTTCTTCAATTAAACAAACTATAAAGATGGAAACAGAGAGTGACATATATCGTATTTGTTTAACCCAAGCTTATTAAATCTGATTAAGTAAATTTTCTACTCATTTATACTAAAATTTAATAATAAGTTACATTTTGATGAAGAAGAAGAAAAAAACAAGCACACACATAAATAATAATAATTTTCGATTAAAAAAATATAAACGATGGTCTAAGAGAAAACAAGCGTTTGATAATCATCGACTTTGAGAAATGAACGATATGACTATATGTTTTTTGCTATCAAATAC